GTCATAATCACTTGTACACAGGCTTACGGGGAAAACACTTTGGTACAGCTACCGATGATGGAAGCCTGTTTCCATTTATGGGCTGGGGAAGAGATTAAAACAATGCCATGAGCACACAGCAGAGCATGTCCAGATCAGGTGGAGAAAGGCCCTCAGTCCAATCTATTTTACAGGGTGGTGGCTGTTAGGATAAAATGAGGGGAGACCCCCGACATGTATACCCAGCATAAGGGTAATAGATCAATACGTAATAAATATTCCCTTATAATACACACACAGAGTTCCTCCCTGCTTTCTTCTTCCTCCATTGGGTCCCTTGGCAAGCTTGCCTAAGTTCTCCTCTTGCTCTCCAAGGCCTCGATCTTAAATTCCCCACTTCCTCCTTTCCATGCTGGATTGCACCTTGCCCCCAGCCTTAGCCCAGTCCTCCTCTCTCCTCTCTCTTCCGGTAGTCATATTGCCCCCCTCCCCCTAATTGTCCCACTAACACCTCCAACTCCCCCCCCCCCATCCTAACCCAAAGCAAAGAGGGACCTTCATGTCATCTGCCTGATTCCTGCCTAGGTCGTCTCTTGGTTCCATCTTAGTGTTCTTTGGAATTAAGACGGCAGGCTGTGGGAAGGGAGCTCTTCTCCCAGACGTGTGAAAGAAAAAGGCCACTTGAAACATAAATGGCAGGTCTCTACAGGGCATGGGGTGGGGTGGGGAGTGTCTGTGAGTGCAGTGGGAGCCCTTGTGGCCCACTCTGCTCACTTCATTGCCCACTTGCGTGACTCAGCCTGTGTACCAAACCTCATTTGCAAAAGAGCAAGGCCTCTTGGAAATTAGGGCTCTGCAAGTGTGGCGGCTTCCTTGGCACAAAGGGGTTAACAATGGAGGCATCGATGATTTGCCAGGCAAGACAGCAGGCAAGAGGAAGCAAAGAGGCCGTTTTATTTATAGAGTTCACTTTCCCGATCGTCACCTGCAATGAAAATAGACTTATTTTTAAACAGACCCTTTTCCTCCTTGTCAAAACAAAAGCACATTAACCAGGGGAGGGAGAAATACACCAACCCAACACTCTGTGCACTGGCATCACAAATCTTACAGACAGACTAGCTTGGCAGCAGGGATACTAAAGCCTGGGGACAAGCTGGGCATGGCCCATACATCTAAACAGGGATCTGTTCTCTTTCCTCTCCCACCCCTACTTGTATTCAAAATATATTGGATGTTGAATGTCCAATCCCATTGTTCCCAGCCAAGTAAATGGGGATAATGGGAATTGCAGTCCAAAATACCTGAAGGGCACCTGATTAGGGAAGATTGATAGAGAGGGTATAAAGAGCAAAAGATTGTAGAACACTGTGCATTGTCTTCTTTTTTCCAAGTTAGGTTAATTTTTCACGCTGAACTCCAGAAGAGTTTTGGGAAGAGCCTTTTACAAACTGGGACTTGCCACAATACCACTTTTGTTGGGATCTTTACATTATAGGTGTTAAACAACCTTAAGTGGTCCAAGACGTTCCCTAGCTATAATCAGCTCCTAATCAAGCAATGTATTAATTAATATTTGAGACTAATGATATATAGATAATCAAATAATAAGCATTTGACAATGTGGGAGAATATAAACCAAATAGTATTCAAAGCTAATGTAGAAAGCAATCAAATAATAAGCAATCATAATGAGAGGAAGGCAGAGTTCTTGGTTTCAGTGAGAGCAAAGCAGGAGGTTCAGAAAGGACATCATTTAGTTCACTGTGACAAAGGCATGAAGTCTGGAGGATTATACATTCAGTTCAATGGGAGATTGACCTGGAGTCCAGAAAATTAATGGGAAAAAAAAGACTTGGAGTTCAAAGAGTAGTACGGGACATAGGCAAAGTTTAAAGATTTATTTTATACAACTTTCAGTTATAGGAGAAGGCAGAAATAGAATGATTCTTGCTCCAGTGAAGAAAGCCAGAATGTGTGTGTGTGTGTGTGTGTGTATGTGTGTGAGAATGTGTGTGTGGTATGTGTGTGTGTGTGTTATCTTCCTTTAAAAAAAAAGTTCTTTTAAAAAGGAAGATAAAAACTAATACAAACTAATACAAAGTAAGAAAAAGAACAAAAAAGAATGAAAGCAAAGAGAAAGCAAAAAAGGAAAAAAAGGAAAAGGAAAAGAAAAATAGAAAAGAAAGAAAAAAGATACAAAGAAGTAGCTTCCAATCTTCTTTCCAGCAGTTATAAGTACAATTATAAATCTTACTCTGTGGCTACAATGTAGCTCTCTTCTTTCTATAATCTATCTGGTCTAACTATCAAAACCATAAATCATAAGTTTATTTTTTTCACACAAAAAAATGTATAAGGGGTTTCCAGTCAGCAATAAACATAGATATTGTCTTTTCTTTGATCAAGGAAGCCAGTTTAGCCATAATCTTGCTGTAGTTATCATGTACAAAAACAAAGTTCCATAACTTTTTTCCAA